GCAATTAAAACCAAAACCAGCAAAGAGAAACAAAACAGAATTGAGGCCAACTCCATGTTGAATCCAGAACATTGTCTAGTGCTATCAGAATGCACAGCTTCTCTTTTGGCATCACTGACTTTTTTCAAATCAAAAAGGTTGTCATGAGTAGCTGTATGTGTTCTAGCTATTCCTCTCTTTGACAGAGAACATTTTTTATTCTAGTAATTTCCTGGTCCCTCCATGTACTGGAAAGTCTCATCAACTTCCCTTTCAATTTCTACCCTTCTCTCAGCTTCACAATGTCCATCTCCAATTCTTCTCTTCCTTGATTCCTAATGTCTCCATTTCTGGGATATTCTATCAGCAAATATTCCTTATGATCGTTCTGACTCCCACACCTCCCTTGACTTTCGTCACACCCTGCACACTATAATAATGTGTTCCATTCTCCATGTTTCTCTGTCTCTCCTCATGGTCTAATGAAACCAACTTCCCTTCTAGTATTTCCTGTATGGTTGCCTTATTATTCAACAAGTGGACCCACACCACCACCTGCGTGTTTGACAGGCCCTTAACACTGTCCATTCCATTCTGTGTATTTCTGCTCCCACATCATCTCCCTCCAAGAATCATAATAGAAGTTCCTGGTTGTCACTTTCCACTTACCATTTCTGCTACCTTCAGGACAAATAGGCCTGTGACATTTCAACATTCAAAGGCACTGCTATTTCACTAGTTCTCTGGTCCACTTCTCCAATAAATTCAACATCTCTTCTGACAGCAGCTGTCCATGCAAGCACAGTTGGTGCAACACACTTCATCTTCTTTCCCTTACATCCCAAACACTCCTCCTCCTATTTGAAGCAGCAACTTAGTTGGACTGCTTTTAGAGCTCTGTAGTCAATGCTCACAATATAATCCTTCTGAGGAAAGGTCACTCAACCTGAAACGTTAACTCTGATTTCTCTCCACAGACGCTGAGCTTTTCCAGGCAGTTTATGTTTTTGCTTCTGATTTGCAACATCCACAGTTCTTTCGGGGTTTTCTTGAAGTTCAACAGATGCACAAGGAACAGCACCTTCAATTTTGAAGGTTAACTTTCAAGCCGTCTGGGCTCAACATTGAGTTCAACAACTTTGGTTCATAATCTATCTCTGTTCCCCCATTTCTTTCCTTTCTCTTTCACAGCATTTTTGTAGGTTTTCCAAAAGCTTTAGAGCCTGCTCAGAAATAGAGTTCCCAGGCCTCTGATAATGGCAATGAGCCTGGCCAATCTGCTTTGTTCCTGAAATGCTGGCATTATTTGTAGATCCCCTTTATTGCCCATCACTAATTTATACCACTGAGTGACTTTCTAGGCCAAGTGAGAGGGCACTAAGAATAGAATAGGACAGCAATCATACGTTGTTCATACTGGCTAGGGGTGGCAGGTTGCCTAATATCTGACATTAACTGTAGAATGTACAAACAGTGTATTGGAATGAAGAAAGTACAAAATAATATTTACCTTTTGCATTTACTAACCTTGTATGTTGTTTAGTTTTTTTCACCTTGTAATTGCAGTTGTGATTCTAAAAAGTGCTAAAAATTATTTTGGAAAATGGCATATAAAAACATACATCAAAATGCAAATTGTAATATTCTCAATAACCCATTGACTTTAGTTTGTTCAGAAAAAACAACACTGTATTGCTGTACATTCATATTTCTGTAGAGTTTTTGAAGTTTGCTTTTTCTTGCAACCTGACTAAATAAAATATTTCAGGTATCATTTGGGGGTTTTGTTTTGTTTGTTTAGAATTTTTGTCATTTCTGTTACATTAACTGGGAAGGTGAGGTATGCTTATGTGGTTCAGTAGGAATTGCTGCCTCAAACAGTCTTACATCTCAAATTACTAAAAGTAACTCTGAATGTAAATACAGTTGAGAAGTTCACCCATTTGACATTGTGGCTCCCAGCCATGTTGCAAATATGCCGTTTTATCCCCTTGATTCTCTTGGAGAGACACTTAAAGCAGAAATGTTGTTAGAGTTGAACAAAGTCAGTGAAGATTTAAATCTGCACCTTGGGTGGCATCATTTTTCTGTTATTGAAATTAGATTTTAAACATTGACAAATCTGAATTTTGATTTTTTTTTGAAAGATACAATCAGGTAGCTTTCAGCTTTAGATGAAATACATCTGCATCTAATGCTTGGTTGCCATGACCAAATTCAAACACATCCCAATTCGTTCATGGGGTGTGGGTGTTACTGGCGAGTCTAGCATTTATCCCCCTTACCTAGGTAAAATATCATGGATCTGAACACTTGGATCCTACATACAGAGCAGAACCTTAATTATGTGCTAAATTAGTATAAACTAGGACAGTGGAGATCTTCAATGCACTAACTTTCATAATGCCAGGCTGACTTTGAGTGCGAGAAGGTCATGAGCCGGAGCCTGGCACAGTAAGTTGAATGCACAATCCAGCTTCATTATTGTCTGTGTCATCTTCTGGATAAAAGGTGCCACCAACCTGCTGAGATGGATATGAAAGTTCTTCAGGGCGTACGTTGCAGAACTGAATTGTGTAAATATCTTGGTCAACTCTTATACCCAAAACAGATCAACTGATTATTTATCTCAGTGCAGTTAATAGGAGGTGTTTGCTTTGGGCAGTTTGGCTATCTTTAATTTGTTCTTTATTGCCCATCCCTGATTGCTCTTGAGAAGTTGTGAACCACCTTCTGATGAAAAGTCATATCAGACACAACATTAACTCTGTTTCTCTATCAATAAATGCACCCAAACCTGCTAAGTTTCTCTAGCACTTTATATTTTTATTTCAGATTTTCAGCATCGGCAGTATTTTATTTTTATTCTTGAAAATGAGTGACCTGTTAGATTGTCTCACAGGCAGTGAAGTGTCAAAAAACTTGCCGACTTAACAGTCACTTCAGTTGAAGTAAGTTGTTATCACTTTTGAACTTCCTGTTGATATGGAATGCATTGAATAAATGCAAGTTATTTATTTTGTTCGGCACTTTACATTGTTCTCTATTATTTTCAGGGCACATTTACAGAAATCCCAGCAAGCAACATTCGGCAAGTTATTGCACGGAGACTAACAGAATCCAAGACCACAATCCCTCACTCATATGCTAGTATTGACTGTAACATTGACCAAATCTTGAAGCTGAGGAAGCAGCTCGCCAAAGGTGAGTTTTGTTGTAACATAGACAAACCTAGCATTTGTTTCTTATGTTTCTCCACCTGTCATCAAAACCTTATCAAATACTTATGACATGAAAGCTATAAATGTAAAGTGAGAAAAGAAAACTCGTGGCTTAGGAAATATGTAAAAAGAGACATTTAGGCTAACATTTTGCACAGGATTCAACATCTGCACTGCGCATTGGTCTTTCTCTTTCAGATACTGAATGTTATACAGGTTACATAGCTTGCATTTTCTTTAATAGCGATATTAGTGACTGAACTAATATTACCACCAACTAAATAATGTAGCACATCTTCTCAGCGTTATCTTCACAGTCATATAGTTTAATATGTACATAATATATGAAACCTATGATGTCATAGCACTGTCTTGCCAGCAACACCATTGATTATAAGGGAACAGCTTATTTCTTACTGTTTCTTTCCTTCTGGCTGTCAGCGTGTCTCCTTTTTAAACCAATGGTAACTGCACACTGAAGAAAACCGGTATCTAGAACCTGAGTAGACAACTAACTGGGTATCTCTTTTATCATGTCTACAAGATGTGAAGAGAGATCATAGATTATTTTAGAAGCTATACCTTATTGTTTAAATTTAAAACAAACTTCGTTGGACTAAAACATGGATGCTGTCAATCACATGATGCATGTGATCACAGTTGACCATAATTTCTAGAAGGATTCGAATCAATGGTTAACAGAACAGCTCAGAGCTCTGACATTGTCCTCCCGGTGCGTGCACCTTTACATTGTATATATCTTGCAGTCCACCAACGCAGATTTATAGGAGTCAAGATGACTCCCCCAGCCATTCCAAACAAAAGGAATATCGTATAACTCATCATGCCTGAAGTGGTGCTAGTGATTCACCATTGATCTCAAATGAAAAATGGTCCAGATAGAAACCAATCTTACATTGAAATTTCCTCATCAAATTGAATCTGATTCATCCACAAACCCCATTGCAAGACCAAAATCTCCTCTTCTTGGAGAAGATGTTCAAATGTAATTTCTGAACTCTGAATTTGTTGGTAAGAAGCAGTTTGCTAAATACATTGAGCCAATCTGTCAAGAATCTAGGTGACACCACAGCCACAGTCCAGGTTTACCCAACTCTGCCTCTAGATCATCATTAAAATCTAATTCTGAAAGAAACCACTGGAAAAGGGGGCACAAATGTCATCTCACTGTCCCATTTTCAACAAATGTCCTTACCTTTGAGTTTTAAATTATTCCTTTCCTTTATTTCCATTCCTTAGATGCATGTGTATATAATAAAGGAACAGAAATGTATACAAATCTCTGCTGGTCTTTAGTCTTGTAATTACTAACCCTAAACTGCTGCAGCACGTTCACTTTGTATCATTTACCTGGAACAAAAAAACTTCACACCGTTCAAGGCCAGCCAGTGGTTAAACAGAAAATCATGGCAAAGCAGTGCATCTTTGTCACACAATGCATGATTAGCAGTCGAGACTGCGCTGCCAGAGCATGTGGTGAAGCCAGGTTCAGTCGAGACATTCCATAGGAAATTGGAACATTATTTGAAAAGGAGGAGTGTGCAGGGTTACAGAGAGAAGGCAGGAGAATGGTGCCAGGTGCAATGCTCATTTGGAGAGCCAACATAAATGTGATGGGCCAAATGCTGCCGTCTGCACTGTAACAGCCCTATGATTCTATGAACTGGGGCAACCATGTTTGTATTTTTGTGTTTAACCTTCATGAGATACATTACTACCCTTTTTGCTACCAATATATAATAAATTGAACATTGCACTGTTTTTTGACAGTGATTTAAGTAGCAAGCAACTGATTCAAATAGAACTCCTGCCTAAATATTTGTTGGAATGGAATGAGATTTCCTATTTAATGCAGTGTAGCATTTGGAGGAATTTGCAGAGGATATTTGAGTTAGAATCGGAAGTTTTCTGTTTTTTAGTTTGCAAATGTGTTTCAATAACACAGACCCTTCTGGTTTCATTCCTAGGACTTGGGTTTAACATTACCTCAGACTAGTGAGTATAAGTATTATTCAGTTTCCTACAGGTTTAAGTTTATGACATGAAACACTAACTGATGGGTACTACTGACACAGTCTCTTGCTCCTTCCATTAAGTTCTTCAGCTAAATAGCTCATAATTTTAACCTTTCGTAAATACATATTTTAGCCACACAAAACATAAGACAAAAAAAGTGTAGAAAAGAGAGCCAAGAATAGGGTTCATACCACGTAATGTGTGTTTAGAGAGGTTTCCCGCACTTAAAACACTGTGATTCCAGTTATTCTTGTGGCACCGAATCATAGAATCCTTACAGTATGGAAGCAGGCTTTTCGGCCCATGCCCACACTGACCCCCTGAAGGGCATCCCAAACAGACCCAACCCCCTACTCTATCCCTGTAACTCTGCATTTTTTCCCATGGCTAATCCACCTTGCCTGCACATCCCTGGACACTGCAGGCAATTTAGCATGGCCAGTCCACCTAACCTGCACATCTTTGGACTGTGGGAGGAAACCGGAGCAGCCAAATGAAACCTACGCAAACATAGAGAAAATGTGCAGACTACACACAGGCAGTGGCCTGAACTGGAATCAAACCTGGGTCCCTTTGCTGTGAGGCAGTAGTACTAATTACTGAGCCACCATACCCCCCTCTGTATAGAGGAAAGAATTTCTTACCATATTAGCATAGTCTTTAGGCAGCAATTCCATTTGAGAGGATTCAGAAGAGATTTACCAAAATATTGCTGGGAATGGAGGATTTGAGTTATAAGCAGAGGCTGAATAGGCTGGGACTTTATTCACTGGAATGTAGCAGATTGAGAGATGAAATTATAGAGGCTTATAAAACAGTGATGTATAAATAAGCTGAATGGCAGGTGTCTTTTCCCGAGAGTGGAAGATTTCAAGACTAGGGCATATTTTTAAGATGAGAGGAGAAAGAATTTAAAAAGACATGAGGGAATTTTTTTTTTACGCGCTGGTTAATGTGTGGAATGAACTGCCAAAGAAAGTGGTGGATGCGGCTGCAGTTACAACATTTAAAAGACATTTAGATAAATACATGAATAGGAAAGATTGTAGGGATATGGGCCAAGTGCAGGCAGGTGGGACTACCTTTTGGACCACAGGGTCTGTTTCCGTGCTGTATGACTCTATGACTATGACTCTATGAATCACATGCCTGTGTCAAATTATATAAAATTAGAATTAAAGTTAGAGTGCAACATCCAATTTATTATGTGTTGCCAGAGGAGTGAATAATTGTTATGGGATAGTGACTAATAATCAAACTGTGTTCAGTCTCATCAAGAGAATTAGACACCAATCTGCACCAAAATCTCAAAGCTCAAGTGGTTTACGTGGCCATTGTACATTTGAGATGTAGCTACCATCTAGAAGGTACATTGGTTATGCCATAATACTTCAAGTTTAATGAGCAGCAGTCTAGAACCAACAACAGAGAATGAGACCAACAGTGCTTCTCCACCTGTCTCCGATTTGAGGTGAATCTCGTAACTATGTTCCATGTTAATCATGAATTATGTAGTCTTTACTTGGACAAGTGCAGAATATATGTCAGTGTTCCACACAATATGCTTTCTGTTTATGGTATGGGATAGTATTTTGTGGCACCACTGTTCAACTGTCACAGTGATTGTCACTTCTCTCACCAGAAATGTTGTTGCAATCCAAGGTGTGCTGATATTGTGCAATACTTCTTTTGGCTTGAAGCCCTGATTGGAAGCTAAACTTTGCTTTCATTGTATTCCCTTCATATGTTCAACCAAGTCTACAGCTCACTCTCCAAGTGTGTAATGTCTTCTTCAGGTGAAAGTGGTCAGTTTCTACTGTGTTATGGATTAGACGTCAGAACATTTGCTGAGGCTTTCCTTCCTTCGTTTTAACTGGAAACTTGGAGGAGCCCTATTTAGATTTACAGGTAAATGCTCAATACAATAAAAAACTTCACTGGAAACTTCACTGGAGAATGCCCCTTTCCTTCTATTATTTTCAAAGTATATACAGCTAAAGCAAATTGCAGAATTTTCAGCGATTTTTATCAATAACCACATACAGGTTGAAATGGAGCGGGGGAAATTCCATGTTGTATTCAGTTCTCTGTTCTAATTTTTTGAGCAGGCACAAGAATGAATCTAACTTAGGACAATGCTCCTGCTTCTATCACACCAAGGGGAAAAGGAGCCTTTACTTCTATTTACATCTGACTTATCATTTTGCCAAACGTTAACACAAAATAATAATTGTGCCATTGTGTAAAAGAGATCCAGTGGAATATCATGAGCTCGCTGAAGACTAGTGGTTTACAAAAAAAGTGATGGATAATTTTTGCTGTCTGTCTAATAGCTCACCTTCCCAGTTAAAACATTGCAATTATTGTGGCTAAGTAAATCTGAATAATCCCCTCTCCCCTAGCTCATCACCAGAACTCAGGAGGTAAACAAAACTGACTTGTCTTGCAGACACCTGTCTGTCTGAAACTGCTGATTCTACTATGCTTAGGACCACAGCTGGCACAGACCACTGGAACTTCAGGCATGTAAAATCTCTACATTTTGACACTTTCAATCACCGCCTCCTTTCTCCCCTCTCCACCCGATGAATTTTTTAAAATTCTCACATAGACCCTATTAACATTTAAGGATCTCCAATCAAGAAATTAATCAGGCTCCTGTGTCATACTTGCCAAATCTAGTATCTGTTGCTGTTGTCTGTTTGCTGAGTGCCCATGCTGCATGTTCAGCATGTAACTGGACCATGTTATATTTTGTCTGCTCAACACCACCATGTTCCCTCCACACAGACACAAACACACACCTCTTCCACTAGAGTGTGGGTTGCAGAAGCCTGCATTAGATTGCAACAATGAGTATTTGAATTGCCCTGGTAATGTGTTTGACCAGGAATGGCATATTCGTTGCATTTACCGTCTCAAATACTTGTTTATGACTGAACTACAATCTCCATTTCTAACAGACGTTTGGATTATGTTTGTTCAAGTATTCCAATAGGATTTAATACTAGAATTTTATTTTTAATTTATTTGTGGGATGTGATCATCACTGGCTGGGCCAGCATTTATTGCACATCCCTAGATGGCCTTGAGAAGGTAGTGGTAAGCTGCCCTCTTGAACTGCTGCTGTCCATATCAGTGTAGGTAGACCCACAATGCTGTTGAGGAGGACCTCCAGGATTTTGACCCAGCAGCACTAAACAAATGGCAGTAATTCCAAGTCAGGATGGTGAGTGGTTGGAGGGAAACTTGCAGCTGGTAGTGTTCTCTTGTATCTACTTCCCTTGTCCTTCTAAATGGTAATGGTCTTAGGTTTGAAAGGTGATGTCTAAGGAGGCTTGTTGAGTTGCTACAGTGTGTAGTGCTGCTAGTGAGTGTCAGTAATTGAGAAAATGAATGTTTGTGGTGCCAGTCGAGCTGTCTGCTTTGTCCTGGATGGTGTCAAGCTTGAATGTTTGGAACTTCACTCATTCAGGCAAATGGGGAGTATTCTACCATAGTCCTGACTTGAGACTTGTAGAAGGTGAACAGGCTTTGGGGAGTCAGGAGGTGAGTTACTTGCTGCAGAATTCCTACCCTCCAATTTTGCAGCCACTTTTAATGAACAGAAACATCCTGAAGAGCCTCATAGGCCTGCAAAGAAAACAATAAGAATTGACAAAGTCATGTTAAGTCCACTTGAAGGGATAATTAAAACCAGACAAGGCCATCAGGATATCAACAGCAAATGATGTAAAGCCACACTCAAACATAGCAGTGATCCTGGAGACCTTTGTCGATAAAATGGCAGCACTTCTTTCCTGCAAAATTTTTTTTTATTTAGTAACAAGTGTTGTGTTTAGACTCATTCTCTTTTAATAGCTGCCTTGTCCCTCGAGTTTGGGAGCCTGTATCTTTGCTGTGCCTTTGCACACACATAAGAGATAATAATCACCATACTTGCATCAATCTGCTGGATTTAACAAGAGATCCACACTACACTCCAACTCTCTTTAAAATGTGTTGTGCATCTGAAAGTCATATCTTAAATGATTACACCTTACTTGGCAAATTCAAGTCCGTAGCTGTTAGCCATTTGCTGAGCACCTGTAATGCAATTTCAGTAGGAACTGCACAGGACCATTTTATATTTTACCCCTCTTTCCCAAAAACTTATTTTCAGTTGGAAAGAATTCAAAAACAGAGAAGTTATCCTAACCTTGTAAAAATCCTTTAAGCCACACAGAATTCTGTACAGTTCTTTATGCCGTATGATAAGGCACTCGAGAGTATAAAAAAGATATACATTGATGATAGCAAGATGGTGAGCTTATGATGAGTAAGCTATGTCTCTAAGAGTAGGTAGTAAAATGGGGATAACCGCAAGATCAGAATAAGAGGAACGGAGCATTTAAAAGGTTAATATTTATTAGGGAAAAGTGGAGTCCTTGAGTTTCGAGATGACTAATGAGATCCTAGATCAGGGACAATAAATGAAGTCGACTGAAGTGGTTGGCAAGGCAGGGTGCAGCAAGGCCACATTTGTGTGTGTGTGGGTGGGTAGCAGCGGTGGACTGGCCCTGACGGCAGTTTTCAAGTTGTATTGTGAGGTGGGTACATCAGAGACAGCATTGTGGATATGGAAATAAATAGCCTGTGTAAAGAAAGGATATGGGAATGAAGATGACAGTGTGCTATGTCTCCCTGTCTCATTTGTTGATCCATTCATCACAAGGGCAAGATAAACAACCCACTCAATGTTTAATAAAATTCAGATGGTAGTCTTCCAGCTGGATAACTTATGTGCGTTATGTGCACTGAAAGTCTCAGTATTTCATTCCTAGTCTCCTCTTCCCTGCACTAACCTGTCATAAAGCCCATCCACTCACCTCAATTTCAGTCTTGTTGCATGCTC